CAGGAAACAACCCTCTTGCTCCTTTTAATGAGTAGCGTTCTGCACCGTATCAGTGTTCTGAAGAGATTAGGAACTACCTCCATGTGGGGCTGGGGCGCAGCGATAGCGCACCTGCCTGGCACGCATGAGGCACTGGTCCGATTCTTAGCACTGCATATAAATAAATAAAGGTCTATCAACAACTAAAAATATATTTGAAAAAAAAAAAAAAAAGATCTGAATAGAAGGGGCTTACACAAAGCCCAGTCATCAGAAAGGCGAGCTCTACCGCCAAGGCGCAGCTCTGGTGCTGTGCTTTAGTATGCACCTAGACTCTGTTAATAAAGTCTCCAAAGTCTCCTCTGCCATGAAACAGAGTTTGGTACAACCACCTCCGCCATTTCCAGCTCCCGGACTCTTCCCTACTCTTCATATGTCTCGCTGTCTCAGGTGGATGGAAGGTTAAAGACTTCAGATCTCGGGAATAAGTTCAGTAACCTTGAGAAACTTGGAGCTAAACAGGAATTGATAACAGCCAAGAGAAAACCACTGGCATTAAGATATTTGCTGATGTTCTGTACTCCACACAAACATGACAGCAGAAAGCAGCTTTGATGAGCCAGGCACCCCACACACCAGGTTGTACAGGGAGCACCATCACCCGGCTTCGGAGCAGTCTTACCTGTCACCTTTGGTCTTTAATCAGCTTTCTATTGCCTGAAGGTAAAAGGGGGAGGCAGAGTCTGAGAGAAGATCCTTTTATTTCCTGACAATCTGGAAATGAACTATTGAAAGCACTCTCTTGGCCCAGTTTAGCCCAGCCTGCAACATCTAGAGCAACTTGCAAGTAAGAATTGCATGACTGTGACACCCACGGAGGCTCAGCTACCACATCGGGCGAACCAGGTGACTCAACACTGACACGCTCTAGGAGTGGAACCATCTAGCTTATGGACACAAGGGGGCTTTCCCACTGAATATCGGCTTCATCTTTCAGAAAGAAAGAACCTGCAAGTCTGAGTGTGCACATACAGCATAGGCCAAACTCCTGGGATGTCCAAACTCTTCAGAATGTCTCCTCTGGTACTAAGGCTGGGCAGGAGGGAGGGCCAGCAGTGTTCTTTCATTCTCTACTTCCTACACCCAACTGTTAGAGGTTTTTTCCAACATAAACATTCCAATAAATTTTCTTATTTATTTATTTGTTTGTTTGTTTATTTATTTATTTATTTTTAGTTTTCGGCAGACGTCTTTGTTTGTATGTGGTGCTGAGGATCGAACCCGGGCCGCATGCATGCCAGGCGAGCGCGCTACCGCTTGAGCCACATCCCCAGCCCTCCAATAAACTTTCTATAAATATTACTAAAACATCCATAGTCAAGAATTCCTGGGTAAGACAGATTGGAACTCTGACCTTCCCTCCCTCTCAAACACCACCAAAATGGCAGGAGGGAACGTGGCAGAGGCATAGTGAACATCAAAGGGGCAAAATAACAAAGCTAGACAGGTTGGAAGCAGACTAGGCAGACCGGGGAGACCGAGGCCATGCTGGTCACTGGCTCAGCAATGGGAGACCCAGGTGGAAGAGACGATGGAAGGTGGAAGCAGGAAAGACAGGCAGGGTGCTTGCTCATTATCAGACAAGTGCTTTTAATGGATGCAATTTTTTTTTTGGCGGGGCGGGTACCAGGGATTGAACTCAGGAGTACTCAACCACTGATCCACATCCCAGCCCTGTTTTGGATTTTATTTAGACAGGGTCTCACTGAGTTGCTTAGCACCTCACTTTTGCTGAGGCTGGCTTTGAACTTGTGATCCTCCTGCCTAAGCCTCCAGAGCCCCAGAGGACAGGCATGTACCATCTAACTTCTGGACACAAGGGGGCTTTCCCACTGAATAAAGGCTTCATCTTTCAGAAAGCACCTGGCCAATAATGTTTTAAAACACTTTATCTTTTAGACATATTCTGAAGAATCTTATAGGCAAGAACTCTGGGCTGGGGCTGTAGCTCAGTGGCAGAGCACCTGCCTTGCGCATGTGAGGCACTAGGTTTGATCCTCAGCACTACATAAAAATAAACAAATAAAATAAAGGCATGTTGTCTGCCTACAACTACAAAAAAAAAAATTTTTTTTTAAATCTGGAATTTGCTTTAAAATAATCCAGTTTTTTGTTTTTTTAAATAAGTGTGTGAGGTGGAGGAAATGGATGAAACAAGAATAAAGTTGATTTTCCTTGGGAGCCTGTAGTATGTGGGGGTCATTATATTCTTCGGCCTTTGTGTACTTGGAACATCTCCATAATGAATCTTTCCTAAAGCAACAGCAGTCAAGCCCTGGTATCCCCAACCTCAAACATGTCTCCCACAAGCATTCAAGTTTACTTTATAAGGGTACAAGAGTAGGTCCCTCGTTGGAAAACAGCAGATGGAGCTGAGGAACACACAGGCCTCCCCACTTTATGAGGAAAGTTGGGGCCCAAGAAAATGACCATGTAAAAGCTAAAGCCTGCAAAGGGATCGATAATAGGAGAAAAAGCATGGCTTTACAGTGAACACAATATTTTTGTTAAAACATTAAAAACCATATAGGGAAATGAAGAAATAGTAAAACTATTTAGTCCCCTGTATTTAAGACAATGTAAATACTGGCATCCAGTGTTTCTGGGTCAGCTCCCAGCGTTCTGCCCTTGGAGCGCAGAGTGTTGTGCAGGATCTCCAGGCCCATCACCACCAACGGACACACTCCCTGCTTCACACCCACTTCCCGTATGGGGGGCAAGCCTACCTTGCCCGAGTTCCTCTGGCTGCTTACCTGGAATTTCCCCAACAGCAGCCTCATCTGTCTGCATGCACAGCTCAACCTACTGTGATTTGACTCCTACAGTCAGAGGAGTGTGGTGTTTCTGCCACACTGTTAATTTCTGCTGTGATCAGTTAGAGAAATTCAGAGATCTCTAGACACAGCATCAATTCCCTATCCCAAAGTCCCTGTAAGGCAGAGTTTGCAGCTGGGTGTGATGGCAGCTGCTGGGGTCCAAGCTATCAGGAGGCTAAGGCAAGAGAATCCTGTGAGTCCACAAGTTCCAGGCCAGCGTGGGCGACATGGAAAGAGCACAACTCAAAAAAAACCAATAGTAACAATCATAAGTTTTAAAAAGTGAAATAAACTTTATCCATTGGCTGGCCTGATAAAAAGTTGTGTTTAATGGTTTAAAAAAAAGTTTTCACCTTTTCATTCAAACCATTTGTATCCATTAAAGTGATACAAGCATGCTATTTAGATACATAGTAGCAAATGCAAAATCAAAAGAGGTCGCCTCAGGAAAGGGAAATAGCACCAAGAGACCTTGGTGGTTTTTGATAACAGCCTTATCAAACTCTTCTTTTAATATACATGAGACCTTGATTTTTAATTTTTGAATCAAGGGAACATCTATGGGGCTGGGGATGTGGCTCAAGCGGTAGCGCGCTCGCCTGGCATGCATGCGGCCCGGGTTTGATCCTCAGCACCACATACAAAGATGTTGTGTCCGCCGAGAACTAAAAAATAAATATTAAAAATTCTCTCTTCTCTCTCTTTAAAAAAAAAAAGGGAACATCTATGTTCCCCCCACACACAAAGAGGACTGTGTCCTTACTAGCATATGTCCCTGCCTCATTGTTGACATTCCTAAATATGGAAATAAACTCCCCTCTGACCACTTTCTAGCTTTAGAGGTTCCTCTTGCCAGGTCCAGCTGCCCTTCCTAGAGAAACACCTGTAGAGTATTTTTCTTCTGAGCTAAGAGGAAAATGTTAGAGAGGGTACTGTTCTCCATTTAAATCACAGGGTTCTAGAAAGATTGGGGCCAACTGAGCTTTTTTTGTTTTTGTTTTTTGGAAGCCACATGTGGTAAGAAACTTACCACATTCTTTGTAATATCAAAGCTAGAAATAATCTACAAGTTAAAAAATAGTCCATTCAAAGCAAGCAAAAGGGAAGCTAGCACTGAAACCCTCAGCTTGGGGTTTAATGCTCAGCTGCCCCTCCTCAAGCCTGCCCTCCTTCCTCAAATAAAAGTAATAAAGCTATTTTCAGCCAGCCCCAAAGCTAATGTCCATTCTCTGCTAACATGTCGTACAAAAGGAGGGTAAGACCTACCACAAAAGTAAGAGGAACATATAAACAGCTTCTACTGAGAGGTAAACACTTCCTGAGAACCTGGAGACCATTAGATGAACACGAGGATACAATGGCATATATCCAACCAGAAGTCTAACTTCTTAGGGTCAAGCCACATGAGGGACAGCCTTATCCTGTTACGGTCTCGCTGCTGGTTTCTAGTGAACAAGCAAACAACAAGCAAACTCAAAAATTCACAAGCATTGTCCCACAACTTTTTAAGGACAGGAACCATTACCACACAGTGTTTATTTACTTATTGTTCTGATAATGCGTTTCAAGATAGAATAACCGGCCAGGAATGGTGCTGCACACCTGTAATTCCAGCAACTTGGCAGGCTGAGGTGGGAGGATTGCAAGTTCAAGGTCAGCCAAGGCAGTTTAGTTGAGAGCCTGTCTCAAAATGGGCTAGGGCTATAGTTCAGTATTAGGACACCCCTAGGTTCAATATCAGGCACAAGAGTTAAAAGCCTAGAGTTTTTAAGTGAAGCTGAGCTATATGTACACATGAAACTTACCATTCTTTGTAATATCAAAGCTAGAAATAATCTACAAGTTAAAAAATAGTCCACTGAAACAGGAAAAAACTTAGGCTGTTAAAGACAATGCATAGATGTACATGCGCTAACACAAAAATGTCTAGGTTATGCTATTAAAAGATGCCAAGATGCTACGATGGTCCCTACAGAGCAATGTCATGTATATTCTGGGATCACAGAAACCTAAGAGTGGGGGATGGTGAAGCTGGAAAGGGGCTTTGACTTGTGAAGATATTTACATGCTCCTCAGAATTACATAAGGCTAACTGACCAGGAGCCAGATGATCCAAGTATGTCAAACAAACACCAAGACAACAAGTTTTCTAAAAATTGTAGGCTTTTTTTATTCAGTTAAGAGGTAGACAGATGAACATGGAAGGCTGTCCCATTTAACTTACCCAAAGTACATATTCCACTTCATTCACGCATCCCACACCACCAGAAATCTTAATAACCAAGATTGCCAGAAGGCTTTTCTTCCTACTTCTAAGCAATAATGGTCAAAGTCACTACTAAATGTTCACTGTGTCCAAAGAACCCTCTAAGAAGTTCCCACACACACGGGGAGAACCTGCCACAGCGACAGGAGGCAGAGTGCCAATGACTACTTCTAGGAGGAGACTACAGGGGAAGCTTCAGCTAACTGGTTTGCTGTTAGATCCCTGTGCGTGTTAGGGCAAAAGCTGGTGAAGCCAACGAAGCAGAGGATGCTCTGCAGGATGGCTCTGCATGGTTCTCTCTCACTCTCTCTCTTATACACACACACACACACACACACACACACACACACACACATTATCTTCAGAAGACAACATTAAAACATAATGGAATTGAAGCCTGATACAAAAAGTAGAGAAATATGTACAGGAATTCACAGCCCAAAAGGAAAGGGGACCTCAGAAGAAACCAGTGGAAACCTGGCTATTTTACATAGCTAATTTTGAGACAAGTCATATTTAGCACAAAAGCAATTATAGCATAATTAACACTTCCCTCCCACAGCTCCCAAACTTTAAAAAGACTCTCGTCAGTCTTCGGTAACACTGGAATCATTCTTTAAGGATGAAATAATAGAAGACTGCCATGATAGCAGCACTGATGACGCCAGAAATGGGGACCGTAACAAACCAGGCCATAAAAATGTTGCGAAAGAGCCGCCAGTCAACAGCCTTCTTGGACCGGAGCCAACCAACAGAGACAACAGAGCCCACCTAGGAGAGAGACAGGGGAAGGAAACTGGTTAACATGCCCAACATATTTTGGCAAAGATACCCAGACAATTGGACAAGACCAACTCCATAAAAGCTAGATCCAAATGCATTAAGATTACTACTCATGAGAAGATGAAGACAGTATGAAAATCCAATCACTGAATCAGTTTTAACTACCCTAAAACATGGTCTGAAAACAACACTTCCTCTTCCCTCCTGAACTACAAGAATCTAATGAACTCACACTGCTTTTAGAAATTTCTGAAGACCTTCTAGAGGGTAAAACACTATAAACAAACTCGAAAATTCACAAGCACTGTCCCACAACGTTTTAAGGACAGGAACCATCACAACAGTGTTTTTTATGTATTGTTCTGATAATGCATTTCAAGATTGAATAATCCTCCAGGAACGGGGCTCACACCTATAATTCCAGCAACTTTGCAGGTTGAAGAAGGAGGATTGCAAGTTCAAGGTCAGCCAAGGCAGTTTAGTGAGAGCCTGTCTCAAAATGGACTGCCCCCGCACACCCCACTAGAGAAGAATGACTTGGCAGGTTCCACATAGCACCAGCCTCCATTCCTCTGGAGAAGCCCTGTTCTTCCTTTTCCCGCAGTTACAGTTACTCAAAGACTTTCAGACTCACCAAGCTTCTCCACACTGCAGCTCTGAGGGCCCTGATGTGTGCTTTCTGTAAGAAAACTGCCCAAAAGCCCAGCAAGACTCCCAGGCTTCTTATAACCAGGCATCAGCCTCCACGCAAAGCAGCAAAAGCACCCCCAGCCCCAGCTATCCGGCTGGCCATTCTACTAAAACACATCCAAATTACTGTGAACGGCTTCCCCACAGAGAAGGAACATACGGTGCTCAGAGACACCAAAAAAAAAAAAAAAAAAAGTAACAAAGAGGTCAGGAGCCAGAGGTCACAGCTAGCACCACAGAAGAGAAATTTTCCATTATTTGGGGAAAATACATATTTAACTGCTTAAACAAGTAAGAATAGGCAAGAAATTATAAAATGTAAGCCTATATTCTTATTATAGTTATCTGTTCTAATTTGTGAACTCTTCAAGACTCCAACTGCACAAAACTTACTAAATCAAAATATCAGAAGTGAAATAACTAAATCAAAATATCAGAAGTGAAATAAAAGACCCTACACACTAACAGAAACACCTGGAAGACGTACTGGATTCATTCCACACTTACTTTGCAATGTGTTGTGCTGATGGGAAGGCCAATATTTGAAGCGATCACCACAGTGAGGGCAGACGCCAGCTCAATACTGAAGCCACTGCAGACACAAAAAGACTGTCACAAATTCAGCTAACACTTCAAGATAGCAATGTGCTTTGTTCTACTGATAACCCTCCCCCGCCCCCCAACATCATTTTAGCCAATATCCATCATCCACTTTAAATTGGGTCATGGGACTCCCACTTTCCCAATCCTGTAATGACTGAGAGTTTAAGTTCTTTGGGAATTTGTGTGCGCGCGTCAGGGATGGAACCCAGGGCCTCACACATGCTTGGCAAACACCCTGCCACTGACCCACATCCGCACCCCACCCCTAAATTCCATTATTAAAGTTTTAAATTTTGTTTTGAAGAATTTGGTAAATATCAGTCTTAGCTCCCAAGTAAAAACAAATAAAATCCAGGTATACACAGCCATCCACCATTAGCATAACACATCTTCCTCTGAAATTTTTGTTAGATCATTGAAGGTGAGTAAATAAATATTCAACCAACAGTAAATAAATCTAAAAGGTTCACACCAACAATGAGAATACCATCAAAAAAATTACACAAACTTGGTTAGTCTCATGTTAGCAACATATAGTATTACATGTCTTTTCTTTTTCTAGTTGGACACAATACCTTAATTTATTTGTTTTTATGTGGTACTGAGGATCGAACCCAGGGCCTTGCACATGCCAGGTGAATGCTTTACCGCTGAGCCACAGCCTCAGCCCCAGTATTACATGTCTTAAGAAATAAATACTAGCCTCTCTTAAGACCTGCTTTTTCTGCTTACCTAGAGGGTGTGATTGGTGTCAGATCCTTCCCCATGGTCTGGATAACTCTTCTTCCCCAAACCCACAGTCCAGTGCAGATGCCAACACCACCATAAAGTAGAAGCCATATTGGTACCGCCCCTTCCGAAGAAACATCCCCGGTGACATAAATCAGATACAGAGCAACCAAAGGACCAATGGCATTGCTGGAAGAAAAAAGGGCACAGATGACCTTTAAGGCAGAACTAGATCTGACTTACTAGGTTGACTAAGGTCATTCATCAAGCCCATTTAGCAAATCAACCTTTTTTTCAAAGAAAACCAATGGAACACCAACATACACACAGAAGAAAATGAAATCTGTGATGGGGGAGGTGTCGTGCGGCTGGCGGCCTCCTCCCTCCCACAGGCAGCTCTCGGGTTCCAATGAATTTTATAACCACAGAACTAAGGCTCACCCACCCAGAATTCCATTCAACAGGGGAGGGATTTTAAATTTTTCATCTTACATCCCATAATTTACTAAAAATCTACATCCTATCTGGACAGATAAAGGTCTCTCTGTGAAACACATCTGTATTTATCACATACAGAACAATTAAAAAGATTCTCTCTGAAGAGCAAAACTTCCTTGTTTTATTAAGTCAATGACTGCCACTGCCTCATCTGATCTACTCAGCATCTTGCACGTGGCAGAAGTACCACCCCAAGGTCATAAAAAGGACAAGACAGGTTTTTTTTTTTCTTTTTCTGATCTGCAGATTGAACCCAGGGCCTTGTGCATGTGAGGCAAGCTCTCTACCAGCTGAGCTACATCCCCAGCCCTAAGACAGTTTTAAAACAGAGGTGGTAAGACTCAAAGTGGACTGACCTGACGTCATTGCCACCATGGGCAAACGACCCGAAGCAAGCTGTGAGGATCTGTAGGAACTGGAAGAGAACAGAGACTTCAGGCTTGTCCTGGTCAGACCATTCTTCCAGAGAGCCACTACTTCCTTTTCTGTCGCCCAGACCCATCTCAGCCTTGACACTCAAGTCCATCTCAGATGCCGAGTGGAGGTCAGACACAGCATTGCAGTAACTGGTATAACTGTCCATTCGAATACGCTTCTTGGTGTCTGCATTAGGCCACGTCAGCTTCTCCATTTCTTCACCCTTCTGTTCACCTTCTTTGGCACGGAATGAATCCAGGGGCATGCCACAAATTGCCATGGTGTAGGAAGTATAGCTGTTATTGCGCCTCAAGGGCTTGTCTCCGGAATCTCCCATGCAGTCTCCTACCTTGGCCAGATGCAATTTATGGAGCAGCTCTTTATACAAGCCAGAATCTTTATGCACAGTGTGATACTGGTAGTGGCCACTGGAGTTTATCTGGTTGCTGACGGCGTGACTAAACTGAACGAGGTTCCCATTAGGCAGCTGCACTGTGCCTAGCCAAGACCAAAAAAGGTGACATTCATTACAAAAAGTACCAGGTCTAGACCAGCGAGCCTGCTCACCTGTGCAGATAACTGCAGAACTCTGGAAGGTGGACTCACCATTCATGGTGCCGTCAATGCTGGTCTCCTCCTTCAGGTCCATGCTGGGGAGCCTCTCCCGCTCTGGAGCCTCCTCAAGATCCCCAAGTTTGAAGGACACTGTTCTCTCCTCCACCACGGTCCGGAGGGGCACAGTGGCAGGCCCCACCTCAGACACGGGATTCCTATTTTCAACATCACTGAGAGACAGCTTTGTTTCTTCATGGTCTTCTTTCAAGCTATTCTTTTTTTCCATTAAGGGGCTTTCAGAAGGACTAGACTTTATTTCTCCTAGGAGAAAAAACGGGTCAGGATTAGCTTGGTATTGACCATACTACCTTCTTCCAAACCCCCATTCTTCCACCCCCAAAAACTTATCTCACAATAAGAACATGCATAAAGTTTTGTTAAAACACAGGTTAACTGTCCTGCCTGCTTTACTGTCTGCCAGGAACTCAACTTTCACTTGGGACGGAGCTAGCCATGCAGCACTCCCTCTAACAGGAGTCCCAAATTTTTGCTGTAAAGGACCAGGTATTAAATATTTTAGGTTTTACATAAGGTTCCACTCCACACTCATGGTCTTTAATTTTACAACCTTTCACAAATGTAAAAACACTTCTTCACTCCTTCAGTGGAAGGTAGCTCGAGCTTGAGCTGAAGATCAGATAAAAAGTTTGACTGCCCCCAATTCATGTTCTTGTGTGTGTGTGTGTGTGTGTGTGTGTGTGTGTACCAGGGATTGAACTCAGGGGCACTCAACCACTGAGTCACATCCCCAGCCCTTTTTTGTATTTTATTTAGAGACAGGGTCTCACTGAGTTGCTTAGCACCTTGCTTTTGGTGAAGCTGGCTTTGAACTTGTAATCCTCCTGCCTCAGCCTCCCAAGGTGCTGGGATTATAGGCGTGTACCACTGTGCCCAGCCTAATTCATGTTCTTTATTTAAAAAAAAAAAAATTCCCCAAATTTCAGTTTGAGTTCAAGCAAAGTGACACAGCTCAATGCAGGAAACTAAAGATGACACCTTTCACAGCTACCTGCATAAAACAGAGATGTGCCTATGATTCTAAATCCCACAGCCAGACAGGAACACTTCCTGTCCAACACTTGGCTCAGTCAAACCAGACTAGTGGTAAAGCAAGATCTATCTCATCTTCTCCCAGACTGAGGAAAAATGAGGTCAGGGAGTCCTGAAAGCCTCGCTGCCTGCCGCACAGCCGAGAAGCAGAGCCTCTCAGAGGCTCCGGAGTTCAGCTGCAGTGACACAGCAATCTTCCCAGTCACCGCAGTCTGTGCACCCCTTGCTGCAAAGGACAGCACTCACATCAGGAATGCAGCATTTGTAAAGATGGAAGGGCAGAATACAATTTTTAAAAGATCACAGCCCATAAGGAAGATTTAAAAGACTGATACTAATCAAAATTTACTCAGTATTTAATTAGCAGCAATAGTGTGTTATAATGGCCACTAAAATGATTCCTGCATGGGACACCTGGAAATGTTCACTATAGAATTTGTGCTATAATTCTAGCAGCACAAATACACCATGCATCTGCATGTGTATCTGCCCAACGGGCATCTGTAAAGCAATGTGTACACTATCGCAACATGGATACATGTTGGTGGATGCCCAAGATCAGACACACTCGATAGACTTGGCTTCACTTGTCTGAATCCGAATTATACACAGCAGTTGGGCAAATACTTGCTCTATGAAAATACTTTGTGCCTACCCCTCACTTTCCATTAGGTACACTTGTATTAACAGGCTACAACTTCTCTATTTACCTGCCCCTGGTAACTGACCGAGGTACATTTTGAAAGAAGATTAAGTGACCAATTTGTCTCTCCAGTATAGGCTAGATGTTTTTTATAATTAAGCCTCAGGTCATTTTAAATCCATTTAAAACAGTTTGAAAAGAAAACCCATTGTTTTCAAGTTTCCATTTAAAATCTCTTACTTTGCCAATACTATCCAAATAGTGGGTTATAACAAGTGGTTTAAAAAAAAAAAACACAATTACTAGTTAAACTTTTCTGTTACAATTATTACTTACGTTCAATTTTTCTCTTCATCCTGGGACATACAAAGAACCAGACGATAAGGGCACAGAAAACTGCACATCCCACCGAGATGAGGATGGTACCCCACAGAGGAAGTTTGTCAAAGCCCAGCACTAGGAGATAAAATGGTGCATCTTGAAAACCCCAGGGCAACAGCCCCTGCAATAACGTGCAAACCCTCCTGTGGGACAGAGGCTTCCCCAAGCCAGCCCGTCACCCTGGACAACTGCAGCTAGCTTTAATTCCAGAGCTTATTATGCCTTGGCTATGTGAATCTGGGAGAAAACTCCAGTGACCATCTTAACACCACACCAGTTTTGGCCCAAACACCAGCAGACTCAGCTTTTTAAATACTGCCTTTTTCTTCTTTTTCTTGGCTTTCCTCTGACAACCTGTGACTAGCTATGAAACAGAAGCATTCTACTCCCCACACCTCATTCCTGAAGTCCACCTGCCACACGGTTCATCTGCACACACAGATTACGCGGTTTAGAAAAAAAGGGCCTGGCACCCACAGATATCATGCTGAAATAACTCTGGGAAAGTCACCACATCTACTGTACAGGCCTTGAGAAAAGCCTGATCAACTCTCTGAAAGCATCATCAAGCTAAAGTAAGAAAAACAGGGACATCTACCTAAAACAATTGGTTCAAGAATATTTTAAATAACTTTTTTCACAAAGGAAAAGTCTAGTAACAATTTCACTAACGAGCGGTACCTGAGAGAGAATTGCCACCAATACTTTGCATGTGGCTCAAGGATCAGTAACCTGAGTCCTCACCTGCTTTTCACTTGCATACCAACAGGCTCCAAGCAACTAGCCTCTACTAGAGGGAAGGGTGGCCCAGTAACAGCACTGCTCAAATCCAAGACATGCTATGAGAACCTGCATGCAGCTCAGACAACAGCTTAGTGACTGTGCTTGGTTTGTGTCACTTTGCTCATTAGGTATTAAATTACTTTTAAAATGGAAATTCTATTGTTCCCCAACAATTAGCCTTTTAAAAATCAGATATAAATTGAAGTCCCTTCACAACTAAAGTTCTATGGTGGCAGTAAGACTGCATGCATTTTAATCCTGCTTTCAGTTTTCTTTGCACTTCAGCACACAAACTAAAACATACATGAGCCTCACGGGAGATTTTTTGGTTTTACATGAAGAACTCCATGCGCAATGGAATGGAAATTCAGCATGCAAGCCTTTCTTCACCTGCACTATTTAATAAGGAGTCTTGTATCCTCCAAGATCAATAGTCTCATAAAGTTATCTATTTCTTTACTGATATTCCAAGAATACAGGCAAGGTTAAAAATACTGTTCATTCCATGTATTGGTCAGTGACTTATTACTTCAGTGAGACTTTAAAAAGCAAGTCACAACCCATTAGTTTTAGTAAGACACAACAAGCATTTAAAAAATTTTTAAAGGATATCAAGGTAACAATAAATGGCTTCACACTGTTTTAGCTGTCTGTCTCTCTCTACAACCACATATACATGCAGGTGCCCCCGGCGGCAACAGTGTTTTTCTTCCAGTGGGTCACAGTCGAAATATTAAAAGCCACGACTTATACAGTCATGAATCCTGCAGCCGAGTAAGCCTAGATGCCAAAGCTACTCTCCTGCCTAACAAGGTCTAAGTTACCAGCTTCTTGGAGTTGCTAATTAAACAGAAGCACCATAAGTTAACTCATGCCTTGCCTCAGTCCCATATAAAAGCACCCGTTTCGACCTTTACGCTCTCACATATTATTACTTTTCCTCTGAGCTGCTGGGATTCTTCTTCCAAGTGTACTTAGACCAGGTGTTAAGCATCCCAACTCTTCTCATTCAAGCAGATTCAGGGGAGTAAATTTAGCACTTAGAAACAAAAGTGGCTCCACTCAGGAGAGAAAAACGATATCCAGCAGGCCAGTCCTAAATGACTGATTATTGAAGAACAGATATAACTAGTGACTCTTCAGTGGTCCAGGTATCAATTCCAGCATTTTTAGCATAGATAAGAAAAAGGGAGGGAGAAGGTCATATATTATCGGTGGATCCTGTGAAGACTAAAGAGGAAAGGTCTGTAGTGATTTAGAATCTGAGCAGGTCTCTTTTGGTTGAAAAACTATCTAGGTTAACTCAGCATACACTAGCCTGCAGCCTTCTGAAATGGGCGCAGGCCAGCCACCTTCTAGGAGATTTCAGCCCTGTAAAGCAAAAAGGGGTAAATTGGGCATTTAATGCAAGTTTTGTAAATAACTTTAAATTCACATTTAAGTATTTTGATATGTACTTACACGGTGCCCCAGTATACATGATGGAAAAGAGGTTTATTCCAACTGTGCAGGCATAAAAAACTGGCAAAGCTCGCAAACCATTGGGAACTGGGTCTGCCTATAAAACATTAAGATCAGTATCTTACAAGTTGTACAAGTTAACCCATTTCCACAGAATCGTTAACAGGGCAGCTTCCACTGTAATTCCCAAGGCCAGCTGGGCTTTCCTGCCCTTGCTCCTGGAGTCTCTATAAGATAAAGTCAATTCCATCTTCTGCTCCAAAATGGCCATTTTTCTGCTATTTTTAATAACAAATCTACCTCCACTAGTGACTGCTAACATCCTGAATCATCAGTTCCAACACTTATGTTTCTAAAGCCTTGAAGTCCACACGTAAACCCAAGCCATGCCTGAAGACGCACTCCACCTAAGAGCTGAAAGAGAGAGCTACGAGATGTTAGAATACTGCCCCCCCCCTCGACTTTACCTTCAATACTAAAAACTAAAACAGGGGGCGGGGCTGGGCTGGGGCTCAGTGGTAGAGCACTTGCCTAGCATATGTGAGGCACTGAGTTCGAGTCTCAGCACCACTTATAAAAAAAGGTCCATCAACAACTAATAAAAATAAAAACTAAACCAGGTAGAATACCTGCAATAACCACCTTATCTAAACATCTGATACAACATAATTAACATTTCCAAAGTGGAAAGATAAATATCAACTGTGCACTACTCATCCTAGTTGAGTCTACAACTATTCTGGGCTGGCATGGTGGCACCCCCCTGGAATCCCAGTGACTCAGAAGGCTGAGGCAGGAGGATCGAAAGTTTGAAGCCAGCCTCAGCAACTCGGCATGTTCCTTTCTCAAAATAAAAAATAAAAATGATTGGGGACGTAGCTCAGTGGTAAAGCACAGCTGGGTTCAATCCCAAAAACCTGTTCTGAGCACTGAAATACCGGAGGAAGTAAGACCAAAAGCCTGTCCTCAAAGAAAAGACATTCATAGTCTAGTACAGAATACTGCACCACACTAGCAAACACAGTGTAGAAAAAATAAAAGATAAAATAAGAGGACAAGACAGGAGGAGGAACACATTTCATTTGAAGGGGGCAGGGAGTGAGCCTCAGCTGAGTTTCAGGGTATGAAAGGAGCAAGCCACCCAGCTGGGGAGTGGGGAGGACAGAGGTATGGGCAAGTGGAAAGGCCCCGAAGCAAGGTGAACAATTCACCAGGGTGTCCACTTTTCGTCAAAGGCTAACTTCGAAGAAAAGAAAAGAATAAGCCCAAGGCCCAACTCTGAATATTAAAACACAATAAGGTTACAAAGACTTCACTGGGGATTTCTCTCAAAAAGATTTTCAAGTTCTATTTAGTAATAGGGCATCTGCAAATCAAACTGCGACTGACTCGTCAGAGTTACGAAGTCACCTATATATTCAGGTTCAGCTTCTTCACAATTACGTATTCCCTGAGGTAAAGAAACAGTAATCACGGAGCTGGAGACAGGGTAGAGAAAGAGTAATCCTACTCATAGTACATTATGAAACATGAGTTCATGGTTTAAAAACAAAATTAACAATTTTAGGAAAAAGGTAAAAGAAAAGTCTCTTCTTTTTACTCTCTCTCTCCAACCTCCTCCCAGTCACTTCCAAGAGGGAAGCAGGGAGAGTGATTTTATGAAATAATACTTACACCATGAGCTACTCAGCACACATTTAAAACTTTACTTGGAAGTGATGTAACTATCTTATCATTTAGTTATCATTTAGTTAGCAAATGGATCTTCACATTTCCTCTCCCCAGAACAGTTTGTTTTACATATTAAAGGGAACATATCCTAGAGAAACTAAATATGATTCCAAACAAGTAGAAGAATGCTAAAAGCTTGATTTTCTTTGACTAGAACTTAAATACAACAGGAAAACTTCATCACTACTGTTTTTGTTGAGTGTCACATTTCTTCACAGAAGAACCCCCACCTCCACTCTGCCTTTTCCTACTCAAAGGCCAACACCTTTGGGAAAAAAAAAAAAATTCAGAAAATTTTCAAAAAGCAGTATTTTTTAAAATAAAGAAAATATTTTAACCTCAACTTTAAAGATCAAATTTTAAGAGTGTGAATGTATCTTAATAGTCAAATATGGAGACTGTAGAGCTGGACACCTCAAAGCTTACTTACTAGTCTAAGGATGTTTTCTTGAAATTTAAAATCAACAGCAACCACAAATGTTCATACTCATCCACTCATTACTGAGAAACTCGCATGCAAGAGTGCGAGCAGGTGAGTGTGTGTGTGCAAAGATGCTCAGGGTGAGCACTATTGGAAACCCCATTCCAAACGTCCTTGCCCATGCCCATCCCCACACCAATAGATATATGTGGCTATGAAGTTAATACATCTAACTTAAGCTCTCAGTAGAGGTACCTGGCTTGCATTCCTCAAATGAGATATCAAAATCCCTCGCTGCTCCTCAGAGCAGCTCCACCTACCTTTCAGGAAGGGCCAATTTATTTTGTGGAGATCAGACACACAATTTGTCTCCAGAATCAGAATGATCTACTTCCCAATAATCAAAAGGGCCTGTATAAACCTTTGTAAAGCAGGAATTCTTAACAAAGGATGCTGTTAATTTTTCTGGTTTTCTGGTATGCAGTGGGATAGGGAATTCTAGAAAGAACACAATACTCTGGGTCCTGATTTCTGGTTTCAAATGTAAGCATATCACCATGTACCACAGATGTGGGCAGTGGGAGTATAGGTACCAATCATACCGGCTTCCTGACTGAAACTGCCAAACTTAAGAGCCAGTACCAATGAACTTTCTACTGTCACTTTATATCAAACTATAAATGTTCCAAGTATTAAACTAGTGTGTTCTGCCAAATCTCAGGCTGTGGATAAGGGTAACTGGAGAATCACTTTCCCAGTTAATAGAATTTCTATAAGACAAACCCAAATTCTTCCCCAGAGAAGTTCAGAAATACAGAAGACAAGTAGAGGTCTGAATTCGTTCTTACCCTTGGGATTAAGCTGTCTATCTCTCTTCACTCAGATTTCTACAGTTTAGGGGCATTTTTTTAAGTGAATAACAATGGGCTGTTAAGAACATTCAACTTAGAAAAAGGGCAACTTTGTTTCCTGAGAAAAATGCATTTATTCTTACTGTAACTCAGTCCAATGTCAACGTAATCCCTTGTTGTCTATTTTGGAGGCAGCACGGGACTTCTTGATAGAAGAAATGCTACTAGGTACCTCAAAAGGGATTTTCAAATACACAGGAAATTAAATGGTTGCCTAATCTGCCACCATCCCCCGACCCCCACAAAAACTTATCTTTATTGGTTCTTTTTTACCTATAGTGAGAATCACAAGAGGTTGAAGCCTCATTTAGAAATTTTATAAACTGGTTCCAATAGTCAGCACTGTGGAGACCCATTTAGCTGTAGCCACAGGATGTTGTGACTTGTTGGACCCCAAGCTTACAATTTCAATTGTCCTGAAAACAATGATGTTTTCAATGAAGTACTAACCTACATACAGCTGGCAAAGCCACCTTGAATGTTTCCTTACTTTTTTTTTCCCTTCCAAGCCTGTTCCTAACATGCCCCATGATACTCGACTTTTTCCTTCCTCAATGTCTTCTTGAGTATTAAAAACTCGCTTCTTTCATACAACTCCTGGACACACAAGAGATGCACAGAACAAAGAAATTTAACTTTTCAAGGCCACATAACTACATACCAATCACATCTTCAAGAATGTCACCCAGTGTGAAAAACAGACTGAGTGTGACCCCTGGAAGGTCACAACAGGGAGGAGAAAGATTACCTTGCGGAGGATGAATGCACGCACAAGAAAGAACAAGATTCCAGACATGATACCAGAAAGCAGTGGAGAGATGAACCAAGACATCACTGGAAAAAAAAAGAGGAAGGATAAATGTAAACTAGTGAAACTCAGTAAATACTTTAAATGTTAAATGCTCCATTTCAAAACTCAAAATCTGCCTATTTTACACCATTTACAGATATATACAAAGCCAAGGTAACACAGGACCAGAACAAAAATTAAGCCATTCAGGATTAAACATACCAATTTTTATCAGTTCAGACCACTTGACACCCTTTTGCCCCTTTGCCACAAGGGAGAAACCAATGGTTGCACCAACAATACAATGGGTCCCAGAAATGGGGAGCTTCAAAAATGAAGCCACTAGTTGCCACACAGCAGAACCTGAAACAGAGCCAAATTTTAGTAAGTAAATGGAAAATACATGACACACACACACATGTATAATATACAAATAGTGATATGCATATGTATACACATATCATTATGTAAGCAATATTACCAACGAAATAATCTGAAAGGTTCAGCACAAAAATGGAACCACCCATGATACAAATTCGCTCACCCACCACAATACATAAAAAGAACTCACCAAACATCGCGCTGACTGAGCCGGCCATGAGCATCAGATGCTCTTGGCTCGAGTTGTACATGTTCACGTCAATCAGGCCCTTGCGGATGGTCTCGCTCACCTTCGCCCCCAGTAAGACGGAGCCCACGGTTTCGAAGATGCTGGCGAGGATGCAGGCTTGTTTCAGGGTCACCACGCCTGAGCCCACAGCTGTGCCAAACGAATTTGCCACATCATTGGCTCCCACGGAGAAGGCCAAGACGAAGGCGATGATGAAGCCCAGGATGAGCATCCACAGGAACTGCGGCGCCAGGGGACCAGACGCGGTGCTGGCTATCAGCGTCGCCACGGTAGATGCCATGCTCTCGAGTAGTGGTTGGATTGATAAAATAATTACTGAGCGGCGTTCAGGGTGTGTAAACAGAATATGAGGTATCAAAATCGCTATAATAAATAGTATATAATATATAACATTAAATACTGTAAACTAGGGCGCAGGCGAGCCGGAGTCACTGCTATACGCTGCAGGAGGGCGTCTGTTGTCTGGGGTGTCTTTGGCTCTGCAGGGCTACAAGCGCGGAGCAGAATCCCATGGCGGATTAGAGCAAGGACGCAAGTTTATCCTGGGGGAAAACACAACAATAGCGGCGCGCCCTGGGGGCCGAGCGGCGGGCCGGTCGGGCTCCGCCCGCGGCCCCCGGCCCGCTATCCCCGTCGCCAGCCCCAGCGGGACGCGCGGCGGCGGGGCACGTGGCTCGGGTCCCCCACGCCGTCCCGCGCGCGCGCTCGAAGCCGGAACAGGGCCGTTCCCGCGCGCGCCACCCGGGACCGCCAAAAAGGCCCGCGGGCGGGCGGGCGCGGTAGGGAGGCGGCAGCCGCGAGCCAGGAGCCGCCCGCCGCCTCCCACACCGCGGCGCCCGCGCCCGCCCCGGGAGAAGAAAGAGCCTCGGCGAGGCGGCGCCGCCACTCACCAGGGGAACCCGGGTTCGCGCAGGAGAGGAGACCAGACAGCGGCGGCAACGGGACGCGGGCACACTTGCGGCCGGCGAGCCAGGAGGGCCCGGGGCGACGGCGCGACGGGCGCGCGACCCACACGGGGAGCGGCTGCGGGTGCCTCAGCAGCCGAGAGAAGAAAACACGCAGCGCGCGCCGGCAGCCATCACTCTGGCGGAGCACGCCGCCGCCCCTACTTATAGCCGGCGCGCGACCCGCGTGACCTGCCGCGCCTCGCGCCGCCCAAGCCCCGCCCCCGGCGTGACGCGGTGCCTGCCGGCCCGGCGCGCTCAACTGGGCGAGCCCTACGGCGGCGCTCATTGGCCCAGGCCGCGCTGCGGCCACGCCCCTGACGGGGAGCGCGTCCATGTGGGACAAGACGGCCCCTCCTTGGCCCCTCCCGGTGTCCCGCAGTGTCCGGTCCCTGGCCGGGACCGTGCCAACCCTCTCCTGGCCCTCGGAAGTCGTCTTGCGGGCCACGGAGGCCACGGCCAACGTTATTTCTAGTGTCTCCCACGCGGCCCCGGTTTGCGGTGCCCGCCGCACTTTGAGCGCAGTTAGGACTACCGCGCCTGGGTGTCACGCCTGGCCGCGGCCCCTCCCGGCGGCCAGGTGACTGGGAGGGGAGTTGTGCCCTAGGGCCCCGGATCCCGTCCTGGCTCGCTCTCGCACCTGCGATTTGTCCTTGGCCAGACAGGCTTTCTCTCGCCCAGCGGTGGGGCCGGGCCACTCACGTGGTTGCTTTGCTCCGCAGTCACACACTTGGGTGAAAACCGCAAAGCTAAGGAGTCACGGGTGCCGGCCTGCGGCCCCAGCTATGGCGCAGAACCTCAGGATGGCTGTGGGTCGTTAATTTCCCCACGGCAGCTCTGCGTGTTCTGCCAGGTCGGCGGCGCCGTGCGAGAACACTGCCTGGGATTCAGATTCTGACACTTGCTGCAGTGTGTCACCTTGAGCAGATCCCACTCTCTCGCAGACGCGTTGTCAAGAATGTGGAGTGTTAACAGGCACTACCTTTCCTGTGGCCGGAATTGGATGAGGTAGCGAGTGACTGGAACGCAGTAGGCCTTCAGGAAATGCCAATTTCCGTTTGGCTCTTTCCGTGAATATGCCTGCTTTAGGATGTAGTAGGGGGTTGGTCTCTTTGCATCCTGGAAGCTTTCCTGTCCTTCTGGGATTTAAGATTGCTTCCTGATCCCCTGTGTGGTACTGGGTGTGACTTTGACAGTAATAAAATTTGTTGTGCACATTTGGGGGTGTTTTATTATATGGCTTAAATCAAGACTAACCAATCATGCCATAGGAGATTTAAGGTTGTGATCTTTTGGCAGGGCTATAGTGAGATTAAAATATTCCAGCCAGAAATACTAGGTTTAGAATGCTCTAGAGCCCTCCCCACAATTTTAACAGAGCACTGAATAGCAGCAACAAAAATGTTGTAAATCGTTGCCACATCTGAGTCATCCACAATGACTCCACCTAAGTTAAACTTCACCTGACTGTCCTCTGACTTGTTCAGAACGTGTGGTACAGTTACATGAGTTACACAGAGCTCTGGGGCCCAAGGTCATGCCTGCCAAAGAAAGTTCATGTCCTAGAGCATTGACCCTGGAGGGTAATTCTGGTACCTTCGAATGTGCTACTTCACAACCTTTATGTTATATCAAGATTATGAAAACAGTGAATAAAAAGGACTGTTAAAGGTCCTTAGCAATAATTTCCAAAGTATTTGTAAGAAAATTTTTCCATCATGTGTTTTCTCAGTCTGTGGTAGTAGCTCTTAAAGTTGGCAAACACAATAAGACCACAGTAGGGCAGCAAAGATGATTGTCACCAAGGTGGGAGTGCACAGTCCAAGGAGGGTTCTCAGGGTGCTGGGCTTCAATGAGTGCAGTGCAGTCCTCTGGGACCTGTACCCACCTTGTTTCCAAGGGGCTTCTTTATGCTCCCATAGGAGGAGAGACATAGGGCTTTGCCTCTAGAGAGAAGTCAGACTGCCTAGAAATGGAAAAGCAGAAGGAGTGTGAGGACCCCCAGCTCGTTTACAGATGGCGACGGTTCTTCTGGCTTTTTCTCTGAATGCTGGGGAGAGCGTTCTCCACATTAGAATTGAGCCTTTGGTATGGACGAGCTCTGGAGCCTTAGGGAGGCCAGTTGGTCTGGTGATTAGACACATAGACTGCAAACTACCGGCTCGGCTCCTCTGTAGTCACATGATCGTGGGCAAATATATTTTCTACCATGGTTTCCTCATCTGCAAACAGGAGAGATGGAGAGCCCTCCTTCACATGGCTGCTGGAAGGGCTACATGAGTCAACATCTGTTTCTGTCCTAAAGGACATCCCAGCATGTCTGAGCACTCTTTATTCAGTGACTGGCACAGGACTGACTGCACAGTCCATGTCTAAATTGTGTGTGTGGTGGCCAGAGGCCCTCTCCTTTCCCGAGTCATCTGGACTACTCTGTTGGTAGAAAGCAAGGGGCCAAGCAAATCAGGCTGCTGCCAAAGGGGGAAGAGCAGCATGTGGTGCCTGGCACATAAATGGGCTTACTGGCCTGCCCCAGACCCTGACTGCCCACAGGAGACTTGATGAGTCACCGCCCATGAGCCCAGGGGTTCCTCACCCACAGAGGACAGAACAACACAGCCTGCCATCAGCAGCAGAACACCAAACCAGGCTCTGTGGGACTTTCCTGGGGATATTTCCATCCCTTACTAACAGTGGGTGGAGTTGAGCTGCCAAGAGCTAGGAAGGCTGGGTAGCCTCTCCAGACCTCCGGAAGTCAGGACAAAAAGAGGGGAAGATACCACATGGACTCTCTGAGCTCAGAGGGACTAACAGTCAAGGAAACGCGCCTAAGTTCACATTCAATATACATGAAGTAAGCATCCTGCAGAAATTGCTGGAAAGCAGGGGCCTGGGAACAGTATGGAGCAGGACCAGAACAAGACAGTTTCCCAGGCTATCTCTTAGTACCTGGGTGGGAGCAAGGGGAGAGTGCATTCTTGGCAGAGAAGGTAGCCACCTGCAGGTAAGCAGCTCCTCTCTGCCTGCCAGTACCCTCCCCATTCCCAGATGAATGCTTGGGGCCAGGCACTATTTCAGGTCCTCTGCATGTAAGATCTTTTGTGATTCAATAAACCTCTGAGGAGGTACTTTTACCTCATTTTACAGACAAAGAGACTGAGGCCCAGAGAATGAACGCACAGTTAAACCCGCAAAGAGCCCTCCAGACTTCAAGCTAGTGCATGCCTTCTCCCAGCCCACCCGCAGGTGCAGGGCGACTTGGGTGTCAATGCTCATTTGCACTTAGGCTAACACATCTGCTTCTCTCTTCTGTTCTCCTTATTTGTATTAACTGTTGCTTTTCCCGCCTGTATTTTAAGGCTCCTCAAACCCTACTGGAAGAGAAAAGGGCTTTTCTAGGAGACCGGTCTCCAACAGTGGCCCCAGTTTCCCTGGAGGAGAAAGAGGTGGGAAGACAGGGCACAGGTTCTCTTCAGAAATAAAGCTGTGGCCTGACCATCTCTTAGAGTTACTGAAAACTGTGCTCTTGAGTCTTCCCAAGAAAGGAAACCGCCTTGCCATTCAAACCCCCCTGTGGTCAGCTTCTACAGGAAATAGGATCAAAATACTGTTTCCAGGAAGGGTACCATGTCACCCCTGTTTCTCCACCTACTTTGGGTGTGGCGGGCCTTGTCCTGACATTTCTCAAGGCCTCTCTCCTCTGAGCAGGACTGGCACCTGGCCTCCATGGCTGTGCCCCTGCAGGGTCCAGGGCAAACGTGGGGCCTGGGGGCAGGTAATGGTGGGTGAGGGATGCCTTCAAGCACTCACTCAGCCAAGCCCTGATGTGGAGACTCTCAGGTTTAGACTGGGGCCAGCATCCCACAGCAAGAAAGAACTGGATTAGGCTGGCCCATTGGTTTCTCTGCCAACACAGAAGCTGGCCATTCCCCTGCAGATGTGCCTGCTCCCCCCACCTCTGTCCACTCATCTCATTTAGCTCTGTGTTCACCCATGGTGGATGTGATATGGCAGAGGACGCAGGCAGAGGGAACAGGAACGCAGTTCTCAGAGCCTGGAATGGTCCAGATGGTCCTCTGAGCGGGCCTCAGGACAGCACAGCATTCTCACACTTCAGAAAACCTCTGGGGAGACTTACACTGGGACTCCCTGTCTTCCCCTAGGCTCAACTTTCTCAGCTCTGCAGGGAAGAAAGGCAACTTGCTAGAAATTTAGGAACTCTATAAGGAAGGTCCTGCAGCTAAAAAGGGTCAGTGGATTTAGACTAAGAAAGTGCGGGGATGGCCAGACATGAGTCACCCCCAGAGTCATCTCCGGGTGGTGGGGGACACAGAACCTCAGCCTGTCCGTGGCTTCCCCCAACTCCTCATTCCTTCAACAAACAGCCTACTGTGGTTCCAGGAGACGAACCGGATTGACCAGCCCACGCCCTCACAAAACACAAACTCCTGGTGTTTAATTCCACACTGAGGTCTGGCTGTGTCTACCTTCCATCCCCCTCAGCCTCTCCTCCCCTCCGGACCTGCCACTTCTTACCTACCCACACACCTCATCTCCGTACACCCAGACTTATCACTTCTTGAACCCGATGGACTATGTCAAGCTGCTGGTCCCCCCAGTCCACCCTCTCGGGGTAGTGGGTCAGGCTCACCAGGCCTCCCTCTCAGCCAGCTCAGGGATCCTGTTCATCTGACCCCCTCAGCAAGGCAACAAGAGAAAGCTCCACACCCCACAGGACACAGTGGGTGGAGAAAGCTGCTGTCTGGGAGTGACTCAGGCCTGCTTTGCTAGTCCCCAAACCCAACTGTTGGGTGACAGAGGGTTCAAAGAGCCTTCAACTTTGGAAACTGCCTTACGGGAGAGACTAAGGTTCAGAACAAAACCAGATTTCTTTATTTTCAGTAGAGAAATCCACTCCTCTGATAGAAACCCTCTTGCCTTCTGCCTAGAGCTTTGCTCCTCAAATTGTGGTCGGTGGACCAGCAGAGGAACTTGCAAAACCTCAGGCCCTGCCCTAGATCTGCTGGCTCAGAACTGCTT